CATCAGCAAACTTGCTGAGGGTGCACTCTGCACCACCAGCGACATAATTGACATAGATGTTGAACAGTAGTTGCCCCAGTATTGACCTCTGGGGTACACTGATTACCTACTGGTCTCCAACCAGACTTTGTTCCAGTGATCACCACCCTCTGGGCCTGGCCATTCAGCCAGCTTCCAGTCTCAGCTCACTTGTTCTGTAGATACATCCCAACATCCTGTGTGTAAGCATAGCCCAAGTTACCGGTATTGCATGTACAGTGCTCCTGCTGATGTTGCTGACAGTAGCCACTGGTCTCAGATATGAGCACAGTGGTGGTAGTACCCAACTAATGAAATGAGCAGGGCACCTTTTGAAAAACAGATGCGATTCTGGGTTAAAATCTGACTTGACTTCAATAGGACCACAGCTGAACATTTCTGATTATATCATACGTTCAGTAAAAATTGTAATAAAATGCTTTAAAGCTAATTAAAGCAGTTAAAATGTAAAATAGATTAAGAACTCTCAAAGGTAATGAAAAGCAAAAAATACTATCACTGGGTATTAAGAACAAGGAATGAACGTTTTACAGGACAGTACAAATGTGGTGAGGAATCGGAGCTGTTAGAAGCTTTTTGCATTGAGAGGCCTTTGGGAAGGGAAGATGAGTATCCCTGAAACAGCAAGATGGGCAGAGATGAATTGTCTTTACTGACCACTCCTTAATTACTTGTAAGGCAGGATATAGATATTTTTAACAACATGTCTTCCAAAAAAGAGAGAGGCTAATTTTCGTGAGGGTTATATTTCTTTCAGTGGAGAAAGAACTGGAGAATGGAAGAGATGGGATGTCTCTGGGGTCCTTCAGTTCTTGATGGCTGAATGTGTCATGACAGGTGTGCATCTGTTTGCACATGAGCACACACACGTGAGGAGATGGCACGTTATGAAACATACCTCTAGACACCATATACCTGGTTAAGTGTCTTGCTTCTGCAGGACCTTTTCCTTTTGTGCAAGCCCACAAAGGATTTGATAACTTGGTATCTCTTGAAACTTTTGTACTATTGCAGCATTATTCTGAAGTGGATTGTGTTTACCAGAATTTAGTGTTGAGAGATGGGTCTTCTGCTGTTTCCCACCCCCCCCAAAAAAAGATTAAATTTGTACTATCACATAGGACTAGGGTAAGTTAACAACTTTGGTTTCCTAAATTGGATCCTAACATATTCATTATGTTTTAGGCACTTCGATATCCGTACTTCCAGGTTGGTCATGCCCTGGGCATTCAGGAGCTGGGGAAACAAAAGGAACTGCATAATGCTAAATCGTCTCTGCATATCAAGCCTGTCCCTCCAGCACAACCTCCTCCAAAACCTCACGCTCGCATTTCATCGAGGCCTTTTCAACAAAGCCAGTCTTCTCAGCACTTGGTGTACCCATATAAGACAGACAACTCTGGGGCTGAGCACAGTAACTACTTACAGGAGGACAAGTCTAACCAGGTTATTCTGCCTGCAATTCACAATAAGGTTCCTCAGCAGGTAAAGGTCCATCTAGCATAAGACATGCTTCCTGATATACTGCCTGATTTTTCCTTAACTGTGTATCTTTTTCTTGTTGTCTTTCAAGGTTCTTACGCTTTACTCAAAAGTACAGGAAATGAGAATAAAGAATAGTTATAACTTTCTGCTAGCAACTGAAAGTCACTCTGTTGAAATCTAAATCCAATTGCTATAAAACAAGCAAGTCAGTTTCTCATTTCAAAGCTATTTTATGCTTCTTTTCTTGTAAAGCACCAGTTAAAGGATGACAGTGTAATTTCATATGAGTAAAAAGGATGTACAATGGTCAGAATATTAATGGAACTGATGCCAGAGAGAAAAGCATTAAGATAAGTAGTATTGAAGTGAGGGGGAGGGAGGTTATTGCCTTCATCCATTTAAAGCATCCAATATATGTGACTGAGAATAATAGTCCCTTCAGGCTTCTATGCTGGCCATGGAAAACAGCAGATTCTTCTTTCAGCATAAGAACATACCATTGCTGTTGATGATAAAAGGAGGCTGGATTCGTAAGATGAGGGACAAGAGCAGACAGTGTGAATGCTGCTGCTAAGAGATCAGTCTTAAGTAGGGTCTGCACTGGCCATGTACAGTCACACAGGGTTGAAATGTACTGAGGAGCTTGAGTGGCTGAAAGAAACAAATTTGTACCTATGTTTTCCTGTAAGAAAAATACGTTTTGTAGATGTCTAGGCACAGGCTCGTGGAAACAGAAACGTGCATATGCAGTCTTGTACTCCCAAGGTGGGTCAAGAAATAAAAATTGAGTGTGAGCTAATTGCTTGGGAGGTGTATAGTGAAATATAAATAGAATTGGAATTGAGACCTAAGAAATTTATTCTTTGGTCAGTGCAAGATACTTTATTACAGGATGAAATGCAGAAATATATGTTATAATGTCTACCAGGTGCAGATTGTGTTCTTCGTATGTGTAATGAATGATTGGTATTCTGTTGTTACAGCTCTACCACCACTTGCTCTTTGAGAAAGGGGGGAAAAAAGTCCTCTGTCATCTTGTTTATGGTGTGTGTGGCTTTGTTTCTTTTCAATCTTTATAACAGAAAACATCTACTGGGACTGAGAATATAAATGGTGAACTTAAACCAAAAGCTAGGCGAAGATGGGGACATCTTGCTAGAACAGTGAAGAGTTCTGAAGACTGGGATGACTTGGAAGACCTTAATTTCAGCTCTTCCATCACGAGGATGGACTTGAAAAACAAGAAGCAGCAAAGTGATGAAGCTCTTTGTAGGTAAGTTTGTTTCTTTTATGTCCATGTGCTATTTGTTCTTACTTCCTTAGGCTTCACCTCTTTTTTCATAATGTTACTCTTTATGCTTTCTGTGGATCTAGAAACATATCCAGGAGGGTAAAGGTAAAGGACATGCAGCTTGTCTCTGTCCTGCTTTGCCTTTGCTGCTTGTTGAATGCTGACCTTTGAATTGCAACACATTTTTTGATGGACAGTACACCCTTCTGTACAATTCCTTGTTCATTTTTCCCCACTAAAAATGATGCTTAGCTGAAGTCTTCCTAAGTTAATCTTTGAATATAGACTTTCTGTTTCACATATGAACCATTTTGACATATTCCATGCATATGAACTGTTTTGGGTGACTCTGAAGCTACAGTTTCCATGGGTCATACACAGTAGAGAAAATCATACTGAGTGATCTATACAAACTTTAAAAGCAATGTGTAAGGGAACTAGAAGCGCAAATCTGATTTTCAGGGCCACTTATATGGCTTCAGGCAGAAAATACTCTGTTTTCTGTGTGATTATGCTGTAGCAAACACACTATGAGGAGATGATTCCTGGAGATGGGATGAAGATGAGAAGGCCAACTGTGGATAAATATATGCTATAGGAATTGGACTAAGTGTAGCAATTTTTGGGTTACAGGTTTGAAAGCATTTTGGACCTGAAGCCTTTGGATGCTGTAGGCTCTGGCAGCAGGGCAACGTCCCATGTGACCTTTCCACGGCAGGACACTCCCACATTGGGAGTTTCTGCAGCAAAGCAACACTACTTGAGACATTCTAGGTATCTGCCTGGTTAGTAAAAAAATACTTAATTTCTTTTTATTCCTGTAATTCCAACAGCAGTATGAAATAGTCAGTGTTACATTAGACTTTGAGCTTGTGGAGGGAGGCTACTGCTTAAAGAAAATGAGGAGAGCAAGGACTTTGCTGATGTAAATGGCCATGATAGAAACTACATTCTAGCAGTCTAGCAACTGAGATAAATCCTGCTTACAGGGGGACAGGATTGTCGGCACTTCTTCCTCCTGCTGGATACTCTCTTATACTTTGAAGTGTGTTAGAAAATGTCTGTTAATGTGCCAAGCTATTTCCCTAAAAAGTCTGGTCTTCTAGACGGGAAAAGAAAGTGCCCTACATTTACCTCATGAGTATATAGTACTCATATATAATGAACAACAGAAGCTGACTAATAGTGGGAATAAGCTTTGCTGTAGCTTGGAGTTAAATAGAATGCAAATCCGTGTCTCTATAGAGGAATTGCATGTCTGTCTCCATGTTAACCTCTGTTCTGAGGCCAGCACTGGGGCAGGATGAAGTACAGGCGGTGGACAGCATGTCTGCCTGTGTTTAAAATGAGCTGAATATTAATGTACCCTGTTTCATAATTTCTGTTTATAAAGGCAGTATTAGCTGCTCCGTCACTTGTAGTACTAATACTTCAAAATTAATTAAGTAAACTAGAAGGTATCATGATGGTAAACTCAGTCTTTTTTCCTGAAACAGTTATTTTCAGTGACTTCCAACCTGGATCACTATAGAGTTTGGGTAGCTAAAATTTGTATTACTAGAGGAGATTGTAGAACACATTGATCCCAAGCCTGCTTTTACCTTATTATAAATTGTTAGCAGATCTTTGCATGTGAGGTACCCTGCTTAAATATGGGATGTATATTAAATACAAATAATATGTGACATATGAACTCTACTGCAAACTGTTTGCACAATCTGTGGTTTCAGTAGATACACCAAAGAAAAGTACAGTACTATGAGAAATGTAATCTACCATTATTTACTCTTCGGTTATCTTGTCACTGCGAGGCTAAAAGCTGTAACATGCTGTGTGTGATACGAAGCACAGATTTCATTTACATAGCAAGGTTCACCGTCTTTGACTTGAGAATATTTGTGGCCTTGATGTAAGGATCCTGTCCCTTGACAGAAGCAGCCATGGATGCTTGTGGAACTACTTACCACTGTTATCTTTGCAGAAGTAGGGCCTGTGGCTGGTCATAGCATTTCCATAGGAGAGGATGGGAAGTAACCCAGGGGCATGTTAGGAGTGAAAATGTTTTGGTTAATTTCACTGAACTGGACGTAGGCTTTAAGATTGTACATCAGACAGAATGAATGCAAGCCTGTCCAACAACAGAGATTTCAGCATGGTAACTTTTGTGTTTTGGCAACAGGAATAAGCACAAAGAACAGCATAGTCTCCACTTCACACAAAGAGCCTGTTCCGGCTAATCCCTGGCCGAGTTCTGGTTTGCCTGGGAGAGCTTCCGGTTTGGGAGGAAGTATTAACAGGATGAATTCAGGTAAGAAGCTGTGCTTAACACTGAGAAAAGATAATAGGTGATGTCTGTGCAATTCCAGACAGCTGTATTTTGGGGTCACTCCTTTCTAATGCCTTGTCAGCTCTGAAGATGAGTGCTACTGTGTCTGTTCTTTCCATCGAAATCGGTTACGAGTACTCTTCCTTGGATTTGGAGACTGCCTTCAACTGAAGCGTAGTAATTTCTTCTAATGAATCCCCAGAAGTCTGGTTTGAAGTACCACGTGCATAGAAGGTTGGACACCTTAGGTCTCTTCAACCTGAAATATTTCATCTTGCCTTCAGTTGCCTTTGCCAGTTTTCCGAAGTCAGATTTTCAGGTTTCCAAATTATTTTAGTCCGGCTGGTACATAAATGACTGTCATAGAGGAGGAAGCTGGTCTAAATTGAACTAGCCATACACACCACTCTTGTTGTGTGAATAAAGCAAATAAAATACATCATCCGTCATCAAGTCTTTTTAATTGGTGCTGTTTAAATTAGTGAAATAATTGTAGCTTTAAAAAAATCACAGAAAAAGTGCAAAACTCTTCTATTTTTCTTCTTCAGGTTTTGGGGGCATTTGGTATTTCAGGTATTTAATCCCTATTATTTGATTTGAAGTAATTTATTTGTAGGTTTGTACATTAGATTTTACCAGATATACATAAACATGTTGTAAACATGTTGTTGTTTCTAGATCGTGTCTGTGTATTTCTTCTCTAAGGCTTCCTTGGCTTTAGGTTTCCATGTGATATTACAGTTCTGCAGTGCAGTACTTGTTTTGCGTATGTTGTTATAAAAATGATTGATTGAGAAAGTTTCTGTTGATTCTTGGCCCAAAGAAACATTTTGGGCCTTTAGGAACTCTGGTTTAGAAAATAAAAATCTTAAAATTTTGGATGTAATTTAATCAGAAAATTGTTCTTCAAAGATTCAAGATGGGAGGGTGTTGTAAATGGCTAAACTACAAGAGAACCTTTATATACGTAGCACATGTCTCCTTCCTGGCTCTTCTACAAGTTTTCATTTCTTTTCTAGCTGCATAGGATATCATTATATTTCTTTTCCTTTTTTAATTATTACCACCATTTCCCACAACATGCTTTGCCACTGCTCTGCTGCTGTAGTACATTATCAGTGTACGTGCAGTGGATCTGATCTGCTCATGCTGACTTGTTTAGTGTCCGTCTGCACTCTGACTCCAGACTGTTTTATTTAGAACTATTTTTGCTCCAATTTCTGCAGCTTATCCTACAGGTCAGTCATATCTGTTCCTGCTTGTTTTAGGGACAAGTTTCATAGCTGACTTCCGAAATTTGGAACATGAATCTGTCGCAGTTGATTAAGCTGCACTCTTTCTGGCTTCAGTAAGAGCTTAGTGTAGCACCAGAACCCCAGACTCACTGCACAGAAATCACGAGTGGGTATATTCATAGGACCTAGTTGCTGAAAGTCAAACAAAATGGTTCCAACTGAAATGCTAAGTTTTGAAAGCTTTGAGAAACCTTGAAAAAGCTGAGATGTCAGGGAGATGCAGAAATTGCCCTTCTGAGAGTACAGTTTGTACCTGTTTTCCATTCTTTAATGCAGTCTGATGCTGACAGTCTCCTGAATGCAGGTATGTATAGGATCTGTGGATTTCTAGTGTCTTCAATGAAGTTCTTGTTTTCATCAGTCCATGATCAGGCTTGGTCTTGAATATGACCCATCAGTGCACACCTTTGTCATCTGTGGATAGTATGGGAGGTCCATGGTGTTGAGCTCAAGTGTTCCTTGCTATTTCTTTCAGGGCCCATAGGATCAAGTGGTCTAACTAGTGGTTATATCCCTTCATTTCTGAAGAAGGAAGTAGGCTCTGCTGGGCAGAGGGTTCAGTTAGCACCAGTTGTGGATCCATCTTCTAGTAAGTATAGTACCAAAGTTGTCTCGGTCCCTTGCTCATGACTCTGCTAATGCTGTGTATAGGCAGCACTGAACTACACATCTTTGCTTTACTTTATTTGTAAATATTTGATTGACTAGAACTGCAGTTTGTAACCTTGCAGAACTTCATATGGAGAAGGATTTGGTTTATTTTTACTTTGTTAAGGAAATACATGGGTTATCCACAGCTTATTTCAGTGGGACCTAGAGGATAGTTTGAGAGCTGGCACAGAATTCACACTTGTCAAATCAATGGTATAAATACTCCTTGTCTGATAAGCTTTTAGAGATTGGATCCACTACTGTTTCACATCAGCAAATTCTATTAAAAAAGGAGTCTTAATTCTTGGAAAAATAAGGATCTGGCCCTGCATCCAGTTGCAGTTCAATGTGGCCAGCTACTCACTGAACCTTTATCTCATGGCACTTTCTTTGGTTCTTTAGATTATGCTACTCTGAAGTCAGTAAGACCCCATCTTGGACGACCTCCGTTCAATTCGCCTACGAAAAGCACACCAAGGTTAATGCCTCTGCCACCACCAGCTCAGCCGATCCATGGGCGTGTTGACTGGTCTGCAAAGTATGGTGCTCACCGGTGACGTATGGAAATACTCTCTGAATTAGCGCGTGTTTCCCATGAGATGATGGCTAACATGAGACAATTTGATACTGTTTTATATACCTGTAAATTTAAAAGAAACAGATCTTCTATGAACGAGACATTTAGAAAGGGTTTTTTACTTTTATTTGTATTAATTTGAATACAATCTTGTACCTTTTTGTATAAAATTGTTTTGTTATATAATTGAGTCCAGTTATTTTCATAAATCTGATACATTTTGTATATATGGCTTAGGGGGTTTGGCATTTTTATACAATAAATTTTTCTAATGAACTTTTTAAAAATTTAACTTTTCCTTTATTAGATTCAACTTTTTTATAAAAGCGGATTAAAAAAGCAAAGCGGTGCAATATTGCAGTGGAAGAGAAATACTGAGGAAGGGGCATTCATTAGACACTTCCTGAATTTTATGTGCTAAATGAGGCTGTGTAATTTCAGCGATGCCATGTCTTGATGCCACACTTCTGTTGTCCTATACTCATTTGCTTTGTACTGCCATCAGAGGAATGAGTGACAGTCCAAACTCTCCTTTGCGGTCACTGAGAAACTGCTGAAAGTCAGTGGGAGGCTTTTTTTTCTTTATTTTTACCTTTAAAAGGTTTTTGTTGGACTGCTGCCCAGCTTTCCAGCTCCATTCTTTTGCTTGTACCAAATTTGGAGAATCTTCTTGTTTGGTGAAGGGTGAATACCCTTCTGTAGATCTGTTTTCTGACACAGCACTCTTGTCCTGCTTCAAAGTTGGTTCTTGGCACTGTTCACTATGAAAGAGAATGTGAACCTACCTCTGTTAAATTAATATAAATGTTCTAATGATTCCTAAGGAGAAAAATCAGATTCTGTTTCTTCTTTTTTTGTTGTTGAGAATATAAGATCTGAAGACATATTTAAGACAGTATTAACAATTATAAAGCTGGTTTCAGAGTAACAAAGTCCTGGTGTTATGCCAGCAGCATAATTTAAGGAAACAATATACATCTATGTAGCTGACTTGAATTTCACAACTGTTATAAATCTCTTCTCAGAAAAAAAAAAATCCAGAGGAAATGAGTCATTTTAAGCTTACTTCAGTTCTTCTTCACTTTAATACATCGTCACTTACAATGTGAAGAGTATGTCAGCTTCTGTAAATTAGGCCCTCAGGCTCTACTGGGATCTTACTTGGTCCTGCTAAAAAACGCTCTAAAATTGTGATTGATTTCACAGAAACTGATAAAGCCCTTTGAAGAGCAGTTTAACTCGGTTTATAAGAAAAAAATAATGATCAGGTTATAGAGAAAATAGTCCCATAGTCTGGTTTAATTCTGGACTGGAAAGGAGTGCCAGAGTCCAGCTGTCACCAAAGATGCGTTTAGGTCACAGTCAGTATTTGGCTGTTCCTGCACCTCCTTCCACAGTGCTGTGGGAGAGCATCTTTTATAGCTGAAGTGTACTGTGAAAATGCATCTTCCTGCAGGAGTGTACAGAGATGCCCACATTCCTGAGCTCATTTTATGAACCAATCAGGCAGATAGTTTATTCATGAGACTTAAATCCAGTCTAAAGGGATCAGATCAGGTATGGTTCTCAGTATCCAGCCATTTCTAAGCGCTGGCCTTTTCAGTACTTCTCATGGAAAGCGTGTGGGACTTGGAGGAAGCTGAACCCTAGAGTAGTAGGCTGCTGGCTCAGTGCTACAGGGGTTACCACGAGGAGCACTGGTCACTCTTTGCTTTCATGGACTCAGTCCACAAAAAAGGGAGCAAAAGGGTCTGTGCATTAAAAAAAAAAGTATGGATGTAAGACTTACACATGCCAAGGACATGTTACGTGTCCATCTACTCCGTTATTTGTTTGTAGCGAGTACTAACTCCAGACCATGCCTAACTGCTTCCAAAGCAGTGATGCCAATGCACAGCAGTACAGTAAAGCAGCCATTCAGTTTCTAAAGCACACAGTGGTGATGTCTTTGGGTAAGTGGAAAGGGAAATCTGTATATTTGTGTTGGAAATGAAAAGATAGTTGTTTCTCTGGGTGGAAATAAATATCTGTATTTATGTCTAGATATCATTTAATTTATTTTATCACTGAATAATTGGTCTCAAAAGGAAACACCCTGAACCTATCCTCAATATCCCTAGACCTAAGTAGTCAATTTAACCAGTCTGTTCCATACAATTAATTTGTACTAGTGGAAGCAGGAGCCCTTTGAACAAGTCACGAGAACGGGCTGCTGAGGTTTGGGTTCGTCCTACCTCACTGCAGGCACCTGAGTATGAGCTCCTTTGTTGGGAGCTGACTCTAAACCAGGGGTGAGTGAGAATCATCTCGAGAAAAATTTGGCTCACCTGAGAACTTAGCAGCCCTCTGGAGATGCCTGGGTCTCTCTACTAAAGATGGGGACCACTCCATGTGTTTAAAGCTGTACAGGATGAATCTGAGCCTGGCCTGTAATCTCTGAGCCTTTATAGCATTCAGGTTTTGTTCAGTCCAGCAAAAAGATTAGAAAATGAAGTAGTACCTCTTTTTCTTTTTTTTTTTTTTTGCATATTTCTTCCTTTCCCAAATTAAAGCCTTTATTTTGCAAAAAAAAAAAAGCTAATAGTACCCAGATTCACTTCTGCTAGTTTTAACTTAGTGGGACAGAAAATTAGCTAAGTATAATGGCAGCATTTGTAGCCTTTACTCAAGCAGATTCCTACTGAAGTTGGCAAAACTTCCGAGCGAGGACTGAGCTGCCCGAGCTGTGTATTTTGCTCTGCTGCCTCAGTGTGCAATACAGATGTGGAAAAGACATAGGTCTTTATTATACTGAAATCTGGACAAGCAGCGTATCTGAGAATTTATTGTACGTAACCTTCTACTTTATGTTTTAATATTTAGCAGCATCTTTATGCAAAATGTTTTTAGGATTCTACTGTTTACATTTTCTCAGGCTTATGCACAACATGTAATAATGACTGTTGGAAATAAAGGGGCCCGACAGTGGACTCGGTCACTTCTGTAAATCCAGATTTTCGTACAAGTATTGTGTAAGTGCCATGATATTAGCAAAAAGAAAGCCAAAACAAACCCCGAGCCACAAAACCCACTTCCATGATATCACTGTATCCAATAAGGCTGTTGAGTAGGATGTTCCGTAATGTGAAGAGGAAAACATACAATGAAAGAACATTTTTGAACTTATGTGGCATGAGAAGGTGGAGTTCTCAGAGTGAGTAAAGAAATAACGGTTCTTGTTTATTCAGTGTTTTTGTTCAAAAATGTTATAAATGTTTGATTCCTTCTGTGTCAAGTCTGCCCGGAATAAAGTTACTCTTGAAGACATACTGACTGACTAGAGTCTTGATCTTTTATTCATTTTTTAATAAAAGCACTTTAATTTGGCTTTTGTTTGGTTTTTTTCAGTTGTGGGTTGGTTTGGTTTTTTAAATAAGCCTTACATTTGGTGTCTTCTCAGAGGGGTCCTGCCTCCTGGGAGCCGTGCTCTTCCTGCAAATTCATTGGCCACGTGATTGGAGCCTAAGCACGTAATTTCTGCGGTTTCCCGTGAGCTTCATGTAAAGCTAATAGTTTAGTCTTTAGATGTCCACTCCTCTGAAACTAACTGCAACACTGAATTAAAACAGGAGATGCCTGGCACCTCAGAAGAAGGACAGGCAGTTGGACCAGATGATCATTGTAGGTCCCTTCCAACTGAAATATTTCTAGTCTGGTTTATGCTATGCTATAATTGTTCTCAGTGTCTTGTGTCAGCTCTCCTCAGCCTCCTCCCCTTGCTTTCAAGGCAGGAGAAGCTGAAGGCAGTTGCTAATGTACAATCCCATCCCTTTTGCTAACTGTTCAAGTGGGCTTAAAATTAATTGTTCAGGCGATGAACTAGGTGAAAAATACACGTACAAGTGCAAAGATGCTGGATTGTAACTGGCGTGTGCATAAGGTGAGGAGCTCAAGGATTTGTAGGTGACTGGGGGACGGAAGTGGGAGAAGTGTGGTGGTTTCACTCCTCTGGATTGCAGCCGAGCACAGCCGCTCTCTCGCTCTCCCCTGCAGGGAGTAGGGGAGAGAATTGCAAGTCCCCCAGAGAACGCACCCGCTTTCCGGTCAGCCCTG